TGTCGAGAAATTAAATGTGGTATTATATCTTGTTTTACCCTCAAACATTGAACATGCAGGTTTAGCTACTAGAGTGGCAACCAGCTAGTTCACCTTATGTGTTGTGTAAGTAGAAGCAATAAATAAGGGTTGAGTAGTGACATGTAGCGACTTGTGGTGACAACAAGTGGATGGACAAAGTTCATCGTAGCATGAAAATTACTCTTTTTTTTTTTTTTGAAAAAGACACTATAAAAGGGTGCTCTTATCGCCATTATATAACATTATCAGTATCCTTATCCAGGCCCATAGTCCAATGCATCTTACTCAAGTCTTCCTACCACAACACTCGTGTTCAAATCTTACGGGAAGCATGTCTCGAGAACTAGAATTAAGACCTACTCTATTTTGGGGTTGGACCCTTGTTGAGCTGATGACTTATTATTATTATTTAATCATTTATTTATGTGTAGTCCAGTTCTAAATATTATTTGGACTAATATTATAATTATTTTTTTCTCATTCTATTTATATTTCTACCCAATTTATTAGGGATTCAGTCCCATAAAATCATCAAATAATTACTAAGATTTTAATACCTATCGTCCCAAAATGACTAAAATTAAATACTCTTTATGTAGTGGAACTAATTAAAATACTTTCTCTAGATTCTAAGGTTACTATCAATGTAGATAAACTCCCTAACTTCATGTAAAAGGTACGTCAAATGTTGTCAATACAACAAAGCATTCGTCAAGTACTTTGTTGGTGATTATATATATATATATATATATATATATATATATATATATATATATATATATATATATATATATATATATATATATATATATATATATATATGGATCAATTCACATGCGAAGACTCTGATCTCCCAAGTGCAAGATGGGGTAAAACCTGAGCCGTTGATATAATCCAGATCAACGACTCAAATCAAGAAAATTTATTTTTATAAAACGCACTTCTGCCAACATGCATACAAATAATTAACTATCTCAAACGGATGCACCTTAAGATATAAACTATGCACCTTAGTTTATAAAATCACGCACATTAAGGTATAAAACAACACACCTTAAGTTTAAAATGATACACCTTAAAATAGAAAAGTGACGCACCTTAAGTTTAAAATATACGCACCTTAAGTTTAAAATATACGCACCTTAAGAAGGAGAACGACGCACTTAAAGCTTTAATTTAGACTGACGCACCTTAAGTTTCAACAAAAAAAACGCACCTTAAGTTCTCAACTGAAGAACTAATGCACCTTAAGCATAGAAACCACGCACCTTAAGTTTTACCAATAAGTAAAAAAAAAAAAAAAATTGCCACCGCATTTTTTTAAGTTTTATTTCATCTGAACTATTGATTTTGATTTTGATTAGATCAAGGGTTGAGATTAAACCTCATCTTTCACGTGCAACCTATTGAGATGTCCATCATAGAATTTTCTTGCGGTATTTGAATGCACAACCAGAGAGTTATCGATGCACGACATTCGATATCGAATGTACAATATTCTGTATAAGAATGCACAATTTCTAATAAGATTGATTTATCCATAACTGTATATTTTTTAATATTTTAAAGAAATTTGTTTCCTTAATCCGTGTGATTTCTTCCTTTTAATCTCAATCGTGCATCATTATAATTTAACAATCTAAATTAGTTCCTACGTTCTTATCTAAGGATGGGTCCTCATTGAATTGGACGATATATATATATATATATATATATATATATATATATATATATATATATATATATATACAAACACACACACATATATATCACGTAAATGAAAACGTGATCAAATTGGGGTGTCCATGTATCTATGATTTCCCTTGTTATTTTTTAAATGTAAATAAAATATAATAATAGTAATGGGTTGTGGATGGTATATAGGAATAACTTTTGGTGCCTTTTTTCTATTCCAAGTTTCCATCTGAGTCAAAGATTGTTCTCTGAGGCCGCAAGGAAAACAGCTTGCTTTGATGATTGCATGTTACCCATTTTGATGATTACATGCATTCTTCTCTTTATTTCATTTTATTTTATTTTATTTTTGTTTTGTCTTCCCTTTCTTATCCACTAATCTATCAAATTCTCACGACTTTTTTTTTTTTTTTTTTTTTTTTTTTTTGGTTGAAAAACACCACTTCTAATTTAATCACATTAATTTGTAAGTTTTAGTTTAACGATTATCAATTTAATCTTCATTATTATTATTATTATTTTATATATAATTCAAAAATCGCCTGATATAGTGATGAGTGATAGTAGATTATGGACATTTCTTTGCTGGGATTGGTGAAGCGGTCTAAACATTGTAAAAACTAATATATTATCAATATTGTTATATTTCACTCTAAAAATCATATTTTTAATAATAAATCTTGATATGACACAATTATGCATATTCTATTTTAAATTTAATTAATACATATACTTTTATACCATTTAATTAATTTGGAATGATATTAATTTATTCACGATTAGCTAACAAATTAAAATGTTTTTATTTTTAGTCTCATAAGTGATCAATTGCTACATTTGTACGTAAAAGTTTAATAGTAAATCTATACGGGTGAATATTTAAAAAAGAAAATGACATTTTGTGTTCCAAATATGATCATGGAGTAAATTTAGTTCATCAACTATTTGCATTGTACATTTAACTTTTCTTTTTTGAATTAATGAATTTGGTCCTATAGGGTTACATTAAAATCCTAACATCAATCAGGCAGATCAAGAGGGGACAATGGGGACAGTAGCCCCCTCACCCCATATATATATATGAAAAGTATATATATAAATTATTAGATATTTAGATAGCTTAGTTGGTTCTTCCTTAAAATTTGATATCATATATTATACGATCAAGTCCCATAATTTGAACTTTGCTCTTACGCAAAAAAATTTCTGAATCTACTATTGCCATCAATGACTAAATTAAGAATTTACAGGGCATTTGGTTGGGAGAGAGAATTTGAATGAAAAAAATTGTAATTCGGTGAGACAAGAATAAGGTGAGCATAAAGTAAATATTCAAAACCAAGAACCTTGTGATCCAATGGTATCTAGTTTGTTTTCTTAAGTGGGAGGTGATAGGTTCAAGTCTCGGTGGAGATGACTAAAATATCATTTTGTAATTATATTTCAATTTATGTTTACCAAACACCTTGGTAGGACTATATAGTGTAGAATTATTTGTTATGGAATTTGTTTTATTATTAAATTAAACAAGATATGGTGTTGAAATGATCGAATATTAGGGTGGTGACATAAAATAGGCTACGAATTGCAAGGTTTGAGACCCTACCGGATGCCTCGTGATCGGAGACGGCAGTTCCATGGAAGACTGTTCCCGTTAGTCACGTGGTCGGAGCTCAGCTTCTTTTGACTGCCCAAAATCGCCCTATTCCTCTTCTCCTCACTCCTCTCCTAACAACAACTTTATTGTCCTCCAATACACTTATCCTCTGTGTAATCTAACTTATATTTTTTCTAAATTCCACATAATCTTCAATATTTAATTACACCTTTTGATTTTTATATTATCTCAACTAAAAGCATACATTAATGGTTATATGCTTGTTTTTTTGTATCAGGTGACGCGGAGATTAGAATTCTGATATCAAATTGAAGCATGTGTTTCATCTTAACTAAAAATTTAAGTTGATAGTTGGTTTGCATATTAATGGTTATATGCTCAACATCCATAAATTTACAAGTAGTAAATTATTAGAAATTGTTAACTTACAAATTTTTTATATTAAATTAAATAATATTTATTCTATGAGTTTAGAATTAGATTGGCAAATTATGCACTGGACCTGTGTCCACATTGAATTGTGGACACGGGCCCAAAACGACGTCGTTTTTTTAAAAAAAAAACGCGTCATTTAGTTAAAAATAAAAAATAAAAAAAATCGCGCGCGTTTTGCCGTTAACGGCGTTATTTTTTTTGGATTATGAATGTACAGTTATGCCGTTATGAATGTACAGTTACGCCGTTATGAATATACAGTTATGCAATTATGAAATTATGAACACAGAGCTCTAACATTATGAACTTACAATTATGAACATATATAGTGATAAAATTATGACCATGGAGCTTTAAAATTGTGAATACAGAGCTTCGAAGATTATGAATGTACAGTTATGGAGTTATGAATGTACAGTTATAGAGTTATGAATCTACAGTTATGGAGTTATGAATCTACAGTTATGAGATTATGAATCTACAGTATGAAATTATGAATGTACAGTTATTGATCAAATTATGAACAAAGAGCTCTAACATTATGAACTTACAATTATGAACATATAGTGATAAAATTATGAACATAGAGCTCTAAAATTGTGAACATAGAGCTTCGGAAATTATGAATGTACAATTATGGAGTTATGAATGTACAGTTATGGAGTTATGAATGTACAGTTATAGAGTTATGAACGTACAGTTATGGAGTTATGAATGTATAGTTATTAACATATAGTAATAAAATTATGAACATATACTCTTACAATGAAGCGATCTGAAATTAAAAAAAAAAAAAAAAAAAAAAAAAAAAAAAAAAAAAAAAAAAAAGAGATAACAGTGCCTAACGGCACTGTTACCCGTGTCCAGCAAGTATGCTGGACACGGGTCCAACGCATAACGATTGAATTAGATTGACCTAAACAGAAAAATTAATGTATAACATAACCAGTTTAGTTGGGATGAGTGACGGCGTATATAGAGACCACTTGTGAGTTGCCCAATGAGAGTGTTACCTGAGGTGGGGTCACTAAATTACACGAAAGTGGGCCCCCCTCTGTCCCTCTCAGCTGCTGCAAAGAATCCAAAAGGCAGAGAATAAAAAACGAAAATGATGTTCTAATTTGACGACACTCTGGCCCACCTCCAGTGCTGACTGGTCTTCCCCCTATTTTTATCACCCTATAAAACCCCTCCACGCTTCTCTCTTCATTCTCAACTCGCTTCTATTCCTTCAATTCTCGATATCCCTCTCTCACTATTACATACAATCTTCATATCCATCATTTCCCAGTTCCCAGATTATTTGTGTATTAAAAATGATGCACAGGTGCAGTAGCAGCTGTTCTTGCGGAATGTACAATCAGAGCAGCAATGACTATTCTGCCGGAGGATTCTCCATGTTCTTCTCCTCCCCGCCGGCGAATCAGAATTATAATCACTACTATTATAATGAAGAAGCTCCGGATTATGATCAAACCCTCTACTCTTCTTCTTCGTCTTCTTCTGTGGATTGTACTCTTTCTCTGGGAACACCGTCCACTCGTCTCACTTCTGCCAATGAGAGGCCGCCCTCTGAATCACGCCGCTCTTTATCTTCTTCATCCCACAAGTCCGGCCGTGGCGGCGGCGGCGGCGGCGGCGGCGCCGACCCTCTCGTCACTCGCCGCTGCGCTAACTGTGACACCACCTCTACCCCCCTCTGGAGAAATGGCCCCAGAGGCCCTAAGGTACATTATTTACCAATGTTGATAGTTCTAATAAGAATTAATGTAATGTTTTATGCTTATAATTAAATAATGGGTTTGCGTTGTTATTGCAGTCTCTGTGCAATGCGTGCGGAATCCGGTTCAAGAAGGAGGAGCGGAGAGCGAGTGCGGCGGCGGCGGCAGCGGCGGCGAACGGTGGCGGAGCCGGAGGAATGGACATGATGCATAACTCGTGGGCCCACCACACGCAAATGCCGTACAATAATTACTCTTCCCCGCCGGCCTACGGAAACGAGTACGGGTACATGGAAGACGACGACCGTGATTCCGCCTTCCTCTCCTGGCGTCTCAATGTGCACTGCTCGTAAACTGGGCCCACCAAATTCTTTGTCAGGTCGGGATGTGGGGCCTTAGAGTTAGGGTTCAACTATTGGAAAAATGAAACAAGAAAAGTGAAAAAAGAAAAAGAAAAAAAAAGAATATTTGTTGTAGGTAGGAGAAGAGAGAGAGAGAGTTGTTGAATTGTGAGAGAAATGATTTTATTGATTTTGGAGAAGGATGGGGGGAGAGGTAATTATGTTTTGGCGTGTAGTGATGGATTCTGGGGTGGAGGGGGAGGGGAGTACTTTTCCTTTCTTTTTAGGAGTTAAGTTGATGAGAGTCAAGATGAAGATGAAGAACGACTTCAAACTTTAACTTTCCACTTTGATGATGATATGATATGATATATACACTTCCCTATTTATTGCTTTAGTTTCTGCTCTATGTCTCTCCACTTCCTTATATTATTTAGCTTACCATATACTTTTCTTGGAATGTGATCTACTCATTTTGCTTTAGGTTTACTGAATATTCTCTCCACTCTTTCCATTCCCAAGAGATTCTTGCTTACACCCCACCCCCAACCCTCATTCATATACCTTAGCTTATGTACTTTAGTACTAGGCCCGGTCTAATATTGGTAGTAAATACCTTCTGACTGATTGCATGAGCAGCTCAACTAGTCATGCAGGTAAAATTTATTATAAGAAATTAAGAATTTGAAGTGAACGATTCCACTTTTAGTCACAAGTAATTAAAGACCTTATGATTGACAGTGTTATTATCATAAATACAAAACAAGTAAAATTGTTTGAGAGTTGTGTCATCTCGTTCATATTCATAGAGAAGTTAATTTTTACGTCAATTGAATAGTTTCAATAGCATTTATTAACTTCGGGGGGTCATGGACTCTATAAGGTTGCGTGGTCTCGTTTTTTGTAGTCTTCAGGGGCAAATTATACCGGATCAATGTCTACCTTGTGTTTAATCTTTTTAGACCATGGACCAAGGTCTACCTGGTCTAAAAATAAACTCCAGATTCTATATCTATAGTTGACATATTATGTGTCTGCAATTGATAGTTTCTGTATCTGTAGCTATAATATCATGTGTCAGCAATTACCAAGTTAGATTTTGTATCGAGTTAATTCCAGCAATGGTCCTCTGACTATATTGATTTTCCAAAATTAGTCCTTGACTTTTAATTTAGACATTTTAGGTCCTTTGACTTTCAATTTCTTTCCAATTGAGGTCCTTTCGTCAGAATACGGTTAATTGAATTTTAAATGAAGGGGTAAACTCATCATTTCACCTGCCTATGTATTATTCTTAGTATTTCTCCATTGTATACGCGATATATATGAAGATAATCTTAGTCAAAATCCTAAAATGTTCCTCGTCATTCCCCATTTGCTTACTACTCGTGTGTGCGTTCCTCTATTATTGAAATGTTTACAAGGTATAACCGCGAAATACGAAGGGAGAAATATGAAGAATAATACATAGGCAGGTGAAAGGACGAGTTTACTCCTTCATTTAAAGTCTAATGAACCGTATTCTAACGAAAGGACCTCAATTGGAAAGAAATTTAAAGTCAAGGGACCTAAAGTGTCCAAATTAAAAGTCGGGGACTAATTTTGGAAAATCACTATAGTCGGAGGACCATTGCTGGAATTAACTCTTTTGTATCTATAGTTGATACATTATGTACATGCAGTTGATAATTTCTGTACCTTAGCTATCATATTATGTGTCAGCAATTATCAAGTTATTCGTTTACATGTACAGACACAGTTAACGGTAAATACAAAATCTATTAACTGAAGATATAGAATCTTTATATTAGGATTTACAATGTAATATGAACCCGATGGTATACCAATTGGTGTTTGTACGTCCTTCCTGCATGGTATCCATAACAAAAAGAAAAAGGAAAAGGAAAAGAAAACAAGTAAAACTATTAACACAAGACCACAAGTAATGATGATCATCTAGACATGTACTACTGTTGAGGCAATTTTGTTGTACGGATGGTCCATAATGGGAAGTGGGCCACAAGTCCAAACAATGGCCCAAAGGAGTAGTAACCCAATACAAAACAGGGAAACCCCACATGGGTATGTTGTAGGACCAATAGTTATACCATGGACCCGGGTCCACAGAATAATTTGCCTTGTAGGACCCATAAAAATATAAATATATATGATGATATGATAGTAACCGAATTGAGGACAGTCAAAAGAGTTTGGATGATAAGCAACCACCAAAGTGAGGCATTCAACCTAACCTATATGCTAAGCATTGAAGAGTGCTAAACCAATCACAATATCACATTGCCATAACGACTAAACTACTTTACACGTACACTATTGCCACCTAAAAGGGAAAGTTAAGCATGCCTTTGTCAACACAGACCTTTATATTAACAAAAAAACGAAAATAATAATAATTAGGGGTGGAATTTTAGTTTGGGTTACCTGAATTGAATCAAATTGAACCAGTTAGGATTTGATTTATTATTAACAATTGATCGGTTACCTGTAGTAATATGTGTTCATATACGTTTTCAACCTATTAAAGCCCAACGAGTCAATACTAACTCCAGTGAGGCTCAAACACATGACTTCCCAGTTCTAATCAAAAGAGTAACTTTATGTCACTTGACCACAAGTTCTTTGGCTTATTTACAAGATTGGAACAAAGACTTTTAATTTACTCAAAAGAAGAGATCTGAAATTCATACTATGGAGTACTAGTAATGTTTAGTTTGCTAAGAAACGGATGGTATAATAATATATTTATAGAGCTTGAATGCATTGATTTGGCTAAGAAGAGAACAAATTATATTAGCAGTTGGGCCCAATTCTTGCATTCTAAGTAGTTAGTGAAACATATTCCTTAAAAACTGGTCTTATGGGGTACAAATGAGAGAGAAGATTAATTCGATTCAAACTGAATACGGATTACAGAGGGTATATCCAACTGAACCTCTAAACACTCCTAAGAGATAAGTTATTACATAGAGACTGAGTCTAACACCACACACTACTACTATAGACTATACAATATTAATTACAATAATAATAGTAACACTCACAGTACGTAGAGACAGCACATAAAGACCAAAGACATTCTCACTGATTCATATAATTACTTTTATCTTATACTCTTTTATTGTCTAGGTCTTTCCCACATAGTTTTTCTAACGAATTTTTATTACGGTCAAATAATGTCAAGAGGGGGTGCATGTTATAAATATTATATTTATTATTATGGACATTATTATAATTCAGTCTTGTAACATTTGTAACAACTATGTAATTATTTGTCATTATTGCATTCCTTAAATTCATTGTATATATATGGTTTTTTTTTGGAATGAAGATACAGAGATTAACGCTTCCAAATTTTTTCTATTCTTTATCTTTCTTTAATTTCATCATCGTTTCGCTACAATTTCCATTTTCTTGATTCATAGTGTTGGAACTAATGAGCAATATAAATTTAACACTTGTTTCTATGACTAAAAAAAATTAAAGAATAATTGATAAACATTTTCATGTACTAATTAACCACAAATAATAATAAAAAAAATATTAGTAACGACATCACTACAGGTTGACCAGAAGCCGCAGTTTCAACGGTAGGTTAGCAAATCTTAATAAAATTCAATATTATATATGGAGCAAAGATTTGTTAGTGTTAGATTCACCAAGTAATTAAACAAATCGGTATTGAAACAAGTTGTTTAGTTAACGTTGTTGAGCTAATGACCTTGTGGTCTAGTCGCATAAAGTGATTTTTTTAAATGTAAAGTAGTCATAAGTTTAATTTTTAGTAGGGTAATATTATCAACTTTTTATACTTTGATAAATTAAAAAAGTTCGTAGTTATTAACATATATGGAATACTAAATTATAACATAGTCAGTAGTACTAAAAAAAAAAAAAAGATTATCCGCACGAATTTAACTCAATATATGATTTAGTGAGCAGTATTTGGGAGAAAAAAAACGGTTAACGTTGATTTTCTCAAAGATTGCATTCCCCTTCACATGAGCCAATCAAGGGAATTGAATTGAATGACGTGAGGAGTAGGAAGTGTGGTTCATCAATACACAAACAACCTACCTTAATTAGTTTGCCTTGTTACATTCAATCAACTATTTATCAACCGTTTAATCATGTAGTTAAATATATGATTTAATTGCATACATTTTCATTGGTTTAATTGTTTTGATAAGTTTAAATTCTAAACTTAATGAGTTCTTACCGCTTATACTCTTGAAGACGAATATATGAGAAAAATTGCGAGATGTGTCTCAACTGGTCTACATTCTTCAAAATGCTTGTACATTAGCACTCATAATAATGGCAAGCATAAAGAAGTGGGTGTAAGCAATATTCCATAGTTAATTTTGTCCACCAAGTTTCCAGGACAGAATAGTAAAGCTCTCGAGATTAGGGTGCAATCCTTTTTATGTTATTTTAGAGTTGTTTGTCCAATATACTAAACCCTTGAGTACTATGTGATTTCTTTGTTAGCCAAAAATGTTCAACCCTAATCTATCCGACTATGTGGTGGATTGGTACTGGCCTACGGATCTTAACCCACTTTGACACTTCTAACTTTATTGATATGGTCACCATTTTCAACACCCATGGACATTATTGGTTGATATATAAATACAATTGAATGTTAAATATTTGAACTTGGTCGCTGGAGTTGGCTGAAATATTGATCGGAATCCTAGTGACCTGTGATAGTAGGTCACTAACAGGTTTTTGAACTTCATTGCATCAAAATACAATGATGAGTTTAATTGCTATTTTAAAAAATTTAAAGACCTAATTGACTTCTTTAAGTAAAGTTCGATAACTTATTCGACTCTTTTCCCTAATAATTATTATCATTATTAAAATAGTTAATATTATAAAAATTTTGGTTGTTGAAGGATTAATAAAAGTTACGCAAGCAAGCAAGCAATTCAGTAAGCGGCAAGTTGTGCTTATTTGTAACTGATAGTCGTCATAGCTTAGCTTCTTACTCTTTAAAACCTTCGATTCATATTTCACTCCCAATACTCACACAAACCACCATGGTCAACTTTGTGGAAGCTCAGAAGCCATTGTTGCACTTCATAATGAAACTAGCTGGTGTTATACCTCATACCGTCGAGATCCAGCCAGGAACCGTCATGAACTTCTGGGTTCCTATCGGCACCATCAAGAAGCGCAACAAATTAGCCACCACCATCCCTACCTCCAACGCCGGCGTCGTCGGCGTCACTAGCTCCGGCGCGGCCAAACCATCCAAACCCGTGGTGGTGCTCGTGCACGGCTTCGCCGGAGAAGGGATTCTGACGTGGCAGTTCCAGGTTGGGTGGCTGAAGAAGTATGCTATCTACGTGCCTGACCTCCTCTTCTTCGGCGGCTCCGTCACGGACAGCGCCGACCGGTCGCCGGCTTTTCAGGTCGAGTGTTTGGCCAAGGGGCTGAGGAAGCTCGGGGTGGAGAAGTGCACGGTGGTTGGGTTTAGCTACGGCGGCATGGTGGCGTTCAAGATGGCGGAGCTCTTCCCGGAGCTGGTGGAGGCCCTGGTAGTCTCCGGCGCAATAATGGCTACCACCGACGATATCATCACCCCCACGGTTAATAGCCTAGGATTCTCTACTTCCTCGGACTTGCTATTGCCTACCTCTGTCAAAGGTCTCAAGGCTCTTCTTAAGGTTTCTGCTTATAGAAAACTCTGGTTCCCTAATCGCCTTTTGAAGGATTTCCTTGAGGTATACCAATATACTGGATTAAAAATCATTTTCTTTTTTTATTAATTATGGCCTTATGGGTACCATGGATCAAGTCCACCTTGCAAGGTGAACCCGGATCTAAAATACACGCAAGTTATATATTGAATGTTCACAATTTGTAAAGTGTGTATTTTGGATATAAGTCCACCTTGCAAGGTTGACCCAAGCCCACAGAATAATTTGTCATAGGGAAGAATTTGAGTCTTAATGTGGCGGGTAATGATTAATTATTTTTTAATGTAGGGCCAATAAAAGTGTTTACATTAAAATTTTGAGCGAGAAAAGTTAGAAGTAGAGAATGAGAGTCCACATAGTTATTTTCTTATTTGAATTATGATGGCAGGTGATGTATGGCAACAGGAAGGAAAGGAGTGAACTGCTAGAAGGCTTGGTAGTTAGCAACAAAGATATTACTATCCCGGCTTTCCCCCAGGTAGTCAACTACCTTTTTCTATGGTTCCGATATATCAGCACTGGTGTCAATAATATTGAGTTGTTAAAACAACACACCAAAAAATAGTATATATATAATTATACTTGATATTATCGACATCTGTGCTAATTAACACTATAGGAAAAAAAAAGAAAAAAATCCGATGTCCATGTCCAAAATATCCCGCAACCCACTCACAGGGGTACTCTGGATCCTTAGAGTACATAAACACTGTCACGTTCAGTCCTAAACTTTTAATTTAATCACTCATGGTCCTTTTAACTTTCAAATTTAATCACCCATATTCCTTCAATTTTCAATTTTTTAATCAACCATGGTCTTAACTTTGACCTTACGTAAATTAAGAGAAGCACCACGACTGGTTAAATTTGAAAGTTGAAGGACTACGTGTGATTAAATTGAAAGTTTAAAACTACACGTGGTGGTATCATTATACTCGGAGGATCCCAACTGATATTAACTCATTGAACATAATTGTTGACTGATATTTTAACATGTTGGTGGTGTGTTTTAACAGAGAATACACCTTCTGTGGGGTGAGAATGATCAGATTTTCAAGTTGGAGCTAGCACAAGAAATGAAAGAGTAAGTTCCTAAGGCTATATATATGTAACACAAAATAAAGAACAAACATGGTCCAGTTAATAGATTTGTCAATGCCCAAGAACATCAGATTGAAACCAGTTTCCACTTCAATGAAGTCTCCAAATACACACAAAAAGGATCTATGAAGAACTACACATAAAACATATATGCCTATTATTCAGCAAAACAGCTGAAGAGCATGAGATTTTCTTTAAATACCAATGCCTTTAGCTTTACATGATGACAGGAAACTAGGAAGCAAGACTACGTTTCAAGGCATAAAGAAGGCGGGTCACCTGGTTCACCTAGAGCGGCCTTGCGTCTACAACAGGTTTCTCAAGCAGTTCCTTGCTTCCCTGTATGACGACAAACCCAAAAAGTGACTATAAAACAACTAGGAAGTAGTGACCATCTTCATTCATGTTCAGTTTTTATATATCCCAGGCATCTATCATATTTATCCAAAGTTTTGGATATAAAAACTTTATTTTAAGGCTGCAAAATTATAACGAATTGGATTTCTTTGCGCACCTGACATATCAAGTGGAATAGAGCATCAGCTGAAACATAACATATTCACAATTTTGCACCAAATGCTGGCAGTATGATACCCAATATATATTCAAGCAAAACTCATCATCTGAAAAATGTTTGAATTTCTTCCAGTGTCTTTCCTTTAGTTTTGGGGACCCAGAGTCTTACAATAACCACTGTGAAAGCTGACACTAAAGCATAAATGGTAAACGTTCCTGTTGAAAAGATAATATAACCATATAGTACCTCATAAAATAAAGACAGAAGCTAGCACAAGACACAGAGAGAGAAGACAGAATCTCCTTCACTCCAACTCATAAGCAAGTTAGCAGTCATTTAAAAGTCCAAGAACAATGAAAGGAAATTTATTACACCTAGCATCCATTATTTGTGATGCAGTAGTAAATAAATTACAGTTGCGGTATATAGAGGGACAGAAATTGATGTAAGCAGCAATAAAATTAAAAAAAAAATCAAGATGCAATAATTGATGCAGAAATTTATACATTCAACAAGCAGGGAGCTGCAGAGAGGGACCCAACACACCAGCATTATGCAAAAAAAATTACAGCTGAGACAAATAATACAGAGAAGGACCACAACAACAACAAAGTTATTATACAACTGGAAAAAAAAAATACTTATGGAGACCACAAGAACACAACATATCTCCATTATCAACTACAACGAGGGACCCAAGCATTCACACCCTGTTTTCAACACCCATATGAACATAACACATTGGCCACACAAATTTGTGAATAAAATATCTACAGCAAACTACAAATATTAGCAAATCAAAATTTGCAAACCAACATGATTCTTACCTCTTTGCACGGAAGTGAAGTCGTTGCAATGTTAACTACCAATAGCTTTGTAGTTCCCGTCACTGATCGATTGAATTGAGAGAGCGAGTTAGGGTTAATTCCATTGTGAGTAGCGAGAGAGCGTAAGAGAGATAAAGAGATCGACGATAGAGGAGAAGAGAATTAGGGTTTATTCGTATATGCGATTTTTTTTTTTTAAAGAAAACAATTCCACTTATTGGCGATAGATATTGTAAAATATAATCCATATTGGCGACAACGGCAAATTATTGTGTAGAGTTATGTGGACAATAACAAAAAGTACATTTTTAATATCTTAAATGTACATTATTTTTTTACTGAATGTACATTATATTATAGAATCTATAATGTACTCTTAGAACAAAAATAATGTACACCCCTTGAATACAATATATATTGTTTTTGTACTGAATATATATTATTTTACAGTAGACAAAATATGGTCCACACAATAATGACAACAACTAAACATTTACCGGCTGTGTAGGTAGCAAATGAACTTAATTGTTTTTTAGCCGATTTAGAGGGCTTACATGAAACTTTTTTACTTAGGGGTCAATTGCACTATCTGATTCACTCAGGGGTTGATTTGACCCCTTTTCAAACAGAATTGACTTCTTAGATAAAATTTGATGACTTATTTGACATTTTTCCCTAATAATTATTTTCATTATTAAAATAGTTAATATTATAAAATTTTAGTTGTAAAATTAGGCAAGCGTCAAGACCTTGTGGTCTAATAACATTAAAGTTGCACTTTGTATTTTAATAGGTTGAGAAAATAGCTATGAACAGATACTACATTATCATAGACTTCCTAACACTAAAAAAAACAAAAAAACAAAAAAACAAAAAAAAAAAAAAAAGTTAGGCAAGCAAGTAAGCGGCAAGTTGTGCTTATTTGTAAGTGATAATCGTCATAGCTTAGCTTCTTAAAATACTCTCACAAACCACCATGGTCAACTTTGTGGAAGCTCAGAAGTCATTGTTGCATTTCGTAATGAAAATGGCTGGTGTTATACCTCATGCCGTCGAGATCCAGCCAGGAACCGTCATGAACATCTGGGTTCCTATCGGCACCATCAAAACCCCCAAGAAGCGCAACAAATTAGCCACCACTATCCCTACCTCCAACGCCGGCGTCGTCGTCACTAGCTCCGACGCCGCCAAACCATCCAAACCCGTGGTGGTGCTCCTGCACGGCTTCGCCGGAGAAGGGATTCTGACGTGGCAGTTCCAGGTTGGGTGGCTGAAGAAGTATGCTATCTACGTGCCTGACCTCCTCTTCTTCGGCGGCTCCGTCACGGACAGCGCCGACCGGTCGCCGGCATTTCAGGCCGAGTGTTTGGCCAAGGGGCTGAGGAAGCTCGGGGTGGAGAAATGCACGGTGGTTGGGTTTAGCTACGGCGGCATGGTGGCGTTCAAGATGGCGGAGCTCTTCCCGGAGCTGGTGGAGGCCCTGGTAGTCTCCGGCGCAATAATGGCTACCACCGACGATATCATCACCCACATGGTTAATAGCCTAGGATTCTCTACTTCCTCGGACATGCTATTGCCTACCTCTGTCAAAGGTCTCAAGGCTCTATTTAAGGTTGCTACTTATAGAAAACTCAGGATCCCTAATCGCTTTTACAAGGATTTCCTTGAGGTATAGTAACTAATATACTAGATTAAATCATTTTAGTATATGTATTCCCAAATCTTATTCTCCGACGAGTTTGATAAACTATTTTTTTTATAAAAAGTTAAGAGTACACTGTACACATAGTATTTTTTTCTTTTCTTTTTGATTAAAGGAAAATGACACTTTTCCCCCTAGTTATATATTTATAGCACTTTTTCCATTTGAATGTAAGCGCATTAGTTCCCTCAATTATTTTAAAAGTGGCGATTTTTCTCCATAATATATTAAATTTACATTTCTACCCTTAAAATAAACATTTTATTTATTTTTCTTCTCCAACAAATTATTGCGTATACGTAGGGATGACCACGGTTCGATTTGAATTGAACCGGACACTTCGCGATTTTGTAATGTATTTATTTTAAAATTTTATTTTTTATTTTAAAATAGTAGTCTAAATTCAACAATAAATGTATATATATATATATATATATATATATATATATATATATATATATATATATATATATATATATATATATATATATATATATATATTTTAGTTTGGAACATTAACAAGCCGTCCCGGTTCGCGATTTGAATAAACTCTAAATATTGGGTTTCAATTCTAAATTGTAATTAAAATATTTCAGTTTGGTTGCTATAGTGACTGTTTGGTTCGAACTAAATTGTGGTCATAATTTGTGGGAGAAGAAAAATAAATGAAATATTTATTTTAAAGATAAATATGTCCATTTAACATTTCAGGGGAAAAACAGCCACTTGAATAATTCAGGGAGAAAAAGTGCTAATTCAGGGAGAAAAAGTGCTAACTCATGAAAAAAAAAAAAAAGTGTCATTTTCCCTTTGATTAATTATTGGGTTTTGGAGTTGTGGAAGAAGAACATTTTCTTGAGTGACGGGTACTGGTTAATTATTCTTTTATTTAAACCCGTTTAAAGTGTTTACATCAAGATTTTGAGCAAGAAAATTTAGAATAGAGAATGAGGATCCACGTGGTATTTTTCTTATTTGAATTATGATGGCAGGTGATGTATGGCAACAGGAAGGAAAGGAGTGAACTGCTAGAAGGCATGGTAGTTAGCAAAGATATTACTATCCCAGCTTTTCCCCAGGTAGTCAACTACCTTTTTTCTATGGTCCGATATATCAGCACTGGTGTCAATAATATTGAATTGTTAATACAACACACCAAAAAATAGTATATATAACTATACCTGATACCTGATATTATCGGCATCTGTGCTAATTAACACGGTAAGAAAAAAAATTCCGATGTCTATATCCAAAATATCTAACAATCCACTCCCAGGGGTTTAGGGTGTGATAATTAATACTAGCCGAGATCCTCTGAGTATAGTGACATTGCTACGTGGTCTTTCAACTTTCAAATTTAATCACCCATGGTCTTTCAATATTCAAGTTAACTACTCATGGTCTTTCAATTTTTTAATCAACCATAGTCCTAACTTTGACCTTACGTAAACTAAGAGAAAGACCACGACTGGTTAAATTTAAAAGTTGAAGGACCAAGTAATGAGGTATAAACCCAACGGGCCTAGGGCCCGAGAAGAAAAGGAAAGAGGGGACAAAGGTTGAGCCCACAAAGATTGCCCCAACAGGGGAAATAAGCGCCATGGGCTGGGAAGAAGCCCAGAGAAGGACACGGCCGAGTCCGAGGAGTCGACGCGAGCAGGCGCTCGGCATGGACAGAGGTCGGTCCGGTAGCTAGCCGTTGTCATTAAGAGACTGCCTTCAGTGCCCGGTCAACTAGGCCGTTAACAAGGCCTAGTAACGGCAGTCCAACGGCCCTTGGCTTTAATAGACCCTCCTTATGTCCATTCAATGTACGTATTCAAATTAGCAAGGGATGCCACCTATAAGTTGGTCCCTCGAGCAAATGTAAGGACAAGCTTCTCCTGGGCATAGAGTCGCCAGAAAGCACAAGTAAAAATACATAATTCTAGCAAGTTATCTCTTGTTTCTAGCAGCTTTGTTTGAACGGTGAATCCACCAACTACGGTTGTGTTGGACCTTCTTGGACCCAAAAATCCTAAAACCAACACCAAGTGTGGTTAAATTGAAAGTTTAAGACTATATGTGGCGGTGTCACTATATTCAGAGGATCCCAGCTGGTATTAACTCATTGAACATAATTGTTGACTGATCTTTTAACATGTTGGTGGTGTCTTTTAATAGAGAATACACCTTCTGTGGGGTGAGAATGATCAGATTTTCAAGTTGGAGCTAGCACAAGAAATGAAAGAGTAAGTTCCTAAGGCTATATATATGTAACACAAAATATTAAATAAAGAACAAACATGGTCCAGTTAATAGATTTGTCAATGCCCAAGAACATCAGATTGAAACCAGTTTCCACTTCAATGAAGTCTCCAAATACACACAAAAAGGATCTATGAAGAACTACACATAAAACATATATGCCTATTATTCAGCAAAACAGCTGAAGAGTATGAGATTCTTTAAATACCAATGCCTTAGCTTTACATGATGACAGGAAACTAGGAAGCAAGACGACGTTTCAAGGCATAAAGAAAGCGGGTCACCTGGTTCACCTAGAGCGGCCTTGCGTCTACAACAGGTTTCTCAAGCAGTTCCTTGCTTCCCTGTATGGCGATAAACCCAAAAAGTGACTATAAAACAACAAGGAAGTAGTGACAATCTTCATTCTGAATTCAATGTTCAGTTCTTATCCCAAGCATCTATCATATTTATCCAAAGTTTTGGATATAAAAACTTAATTTTAAGGCTGCAAAATTATAATGAATTGGATTTCTTTGTGCACCTGACATATCAAGTGGAATAGAGCATGTTCACAATTTTGCACCAAATGCTGGCAGTATGATACCCGATATATATATTCAAGCAAAACTCATCATCTGAAAAATGTTTGAATTTCTTCCAGTGTCTTTCCTTTAGTTTCGGGAACCCAGAGTCTTACAATAACCACTGTGAAAGCTGACACTAAAGCATAAATGGTAAACGTTCCTGTTGAAAAGATAATATAACCATATAGTACCTCATCAAATAAAGACAGAAGCTAGCACAAGACACAGAGAGAGAAGAGAGAACCTCCTTCACTCCAACTCATAAGCAAGTTAGAAGTCATTGTGACGCCCCATGCACTTAGCCAATTGCACAGCGTTGCTACACTGCCACCGAGACTTTTAATGTTCACAGGCAGTACCTGGGATAACCGTACTTAAACATGTAAGCTATTTTCTGGTCATAATTACACAAGTCCTTATTCATATAACACAAATGAACTAGCAACTTACCAATGATTTGAGTGGTTGGTTACAGTAGAACAAAGTAAACTACTTTAGTTTGGATACAGTTAGGCCATCAGCCAACCACCTTCATGCATAATTACTTACTTTAAGTTGTATTGAGTGCTTTACAGTTTACACTATAGTGATGTGATAATTAACTCTAGTCTTACCTCAGACATTATAATCCACGGAACACCCCCCAATCCTA